GTGTAGAAGACGTCCACAGGAAAGGTGCGTCCCTCCACTGTTAGGATACCACACGTGTCCTTGTTAGGATCCCCAGACTCGTTCAGGTTGAAGAAGTCATGGAATTTCTTCAGGTGAAAGTGACAGTGAGGTTACTGAAGGGAGTATTAAGGAGGCGTTTCTTCTATCTTTTAACTGCTGTCATTTTCTAAATGTTTCGCAGCAGCAAAGCAATGAAACACTCTTGATGACCTCAATTTGACATTTTAGGAAGCATCCAACCTTCTACTGTCGTACAACAAAGTAACTTGTGTAGATGAAAACCTTTTTAAACAGGAAGTACAGTAGATGTCCGATACAGCACTTTTTAATGCTGAGCACAATTGTGGCCTGGTTGTGTCTTTCTTTCATCATTGTAACGCAGATGTCAGTGCAATGTGATCGGACATGACATCAACTTTCCTTGTCTGTCTTTGTTTCTCTGTTCTCGCTAATCAATCATATCTGGTCATCTTAACGATGTAGTCACCTTGGCATCCAGAGTGGCAGAGGCCACAATCAACCTCAGGTCTCGCCGCTTCTTCTGAATCTATTAAAGAAAGTGAAGTGGGAACACAGAAAGAGAGTCAGGGTAAAACTATGGAAAATAACTGACATTGTTCTAGGCTTATTTCCATGGTTAACAAAGTAAAAGGTAAAGTTTCATTTGCTCCACTAAAAGAAATAACTGGCAGTACCTTCTTTAGTAGACCAATGGCTATGTCTGTATACAGGGTTCTCTCATGTGCTTCATCTAGCATCAACACACTGAGGATGACAGAACAAAGACCATAAGAGTGAATCCAACCCAGTCTTGAGGTGTAAATCACCACTCTCATCATGATATGATCCTATATCGATTCTCTTTGCCAGCACCTGTCCAGTGAGAAAAGCCAGGACATCTCCATCATCCTCAGTCTCATGGATTTTCAGTACTGTCTCCACTGTGGCCTTCACATAGTCTGGGACAGGACTGAGAGCAAACAAATGACACTTGAGAATTTAAAAGAATTATACAAATTCTACTCCACCTCCTCAGACAAGACTGTGTGTGTGTGGAGTACCTGACAGTGTAGAAGACGTCCACAGGAAAGGTGCGTCCCTCCACTGTTAGGATACCACACGTGTCCTTGTTAGGATCCCCAGACTCGTTCAGGTTGAAGAAGTCATGGAATTTCTTCAGGTGAAAGTGACAGTGAGGTTACTGAAGGGAGTATTAAGGAGGCGTTTCTTCTATCTTTTAACTGCTGTCATTTTCTAAATGTTTCGCAGCAGCAAAGCAATGAAACACTCTTGATGACCTCAATTTGACATTTTAGGAAGCATCCAACCTTCTACTGTCGTACAACAAAGTAACTTGTGTAGATGAAAACCTTTTTAAACAGGAAGTACAGTAGATGTCCGATACAGCACTTTTTAATGCTGAGCACAATTGTGGCCTGGTTGTGTCTTTCTTTCATCATTGTAACGCAGATGTCAGTGCAATGTGATCGGACATGACATCAACTTTCCTTGTCTGTCTTTGTTTCTCTGTTCTCGCTAATCAATCATATCTGGTCATCTTAACGATGTAGTCACCTTGGCATCCAGAGTGGCAGAGGCCACAATCAACCTCAGGTCTCGCCGCTTCTTCTGAATCTATTAAAGAAAGTGAAGTGGGAACACAGAAAGAGAGTCAGGGTAAAACTATGGAAAATAACTGACATTGTTCTAGGCTTATTTCCATGGTTAACAAAGTAAAAGGTAAAGTTTCATTTGCTCCACTAAAAGAAATAACTGGCAGTACCTTCTTTAGTAGACCAATGGCTATGTCTGTATACAGGGTTCTCTCATGTGCTTCATCTAGCATCAACACACTGAGGATGACAGAACAAAGACCATAAGAGTGAATCCAACCCAGTCTTGAGGTGTAAATCACCACTCTCATCATGATATGATCCTATATCGATTCTCTTTGCCAGCAATCCAATGTTTGCCAATACTTCAAAATATGTGATCGATATCAAGCAATACTCTCTGCCCATTTCACACAATTATTATTATTTATTAACAATTATTTACTAACTAAAATATAACAAGTATAATTTTAGTATAAATGTAATAAGCTACAGTTTTCATTTTCAAGTGCTACTTAAATACAATTAAGGACCAATGATGACCCTCCAATTCAACAAAACGTTTTTGAGACAGGAAGCATTTACATTGTCACACATACAAAAAAGCTGAGAAAAAATTCCTACATTTTATGTGTCCTTCAAATCCAGAATACTTCAATACCCACAACTTGTTTCTGATGGGAGAGTTTACTCTATCCGTGTATTTTTCTTAGCTGATATGGGTCAAGGCCAGTTCTCATAGAAAGCGTTTTATCACTGCCCCCCTCTCACATAACAGATAAAATTCCAATATATCAAATGTCAGTCCACACTGACTCAGACACGTGTGTGTGAGACACACATCAGCCCTGGAACTCCGTTTTTAACACTTCAAGTTTCTTCTCTCTGGTGCATTTAACAGACCATAATCCCCACAGACCCTTTGTCCAGTCACTGTCCGGCTGACAGACAGACAGCTGTTGTAACGACAGTGACACTGCACAGAAGTTGGAGTTGGTGGACTGAACAGATCAAATGCTTCAGTAGCTTATGCACTGCTCGCATTTTTCTTTTAGTGAATTCCCAATCTCGGATTGCTAGCTGCACCACCTGGCACTTGTTGTCCAGATTGAAAAGATTGGTGCTTCACTGCAAATGCCTATGTATGTGGTGGGCTGTCAAAATATAAGCACACCTAATATTAATGCTTTTGCATTGATGTCATCAGATCGTGGGGTGTTTGATCAATGTATCAATCCAGATAGATGGATCGTTACACCTCTAAAAACAAGTTTACAAAACCAACAGCAGGAAAATATTTTGACATGTCACAGTAGTAACAGCACGGTGTAAATGCTGTGGTATAGTGCACGCTAGCTCACTGTGACACTGTTATGAATTACTGGGATATTTGAATAAAACATGATTATTGTTATTAGTAGCATTCTTCTATGACAAGTCAAAATATCTCCTGTGGAAGCAGCATGGTTTTCAATCATGTACCTGTATTTCTTTAACAGAGGATCAGCCATCATCTCACGCACCAGCATGCCATCTGTCAGGAACTGATGGACAAAGTGAGTTAACCACTGACAGAAACCAAGTAATGGAAAGCATGCACACAAATGGCATGTAATACCTTGATCCTTGTGGCATGGGGATCTGAGCAATCATCAAATCTGATGGTGTAGCCCACCTCATGTCCCAACAGGGCTCC